GCGCCGTGCGCTCGGCGCTAGGTCGAGACAAGTGGCTTCCAACGCCGAACCATGCTCGGCTGCCTCACGATTAAAACCCCAGAGTTCCCACCTCGAAAGCATCGAGGCCCTCTCTCCGTTTCCCTTTTCGTTTCATTTTCCCCTTTTCCCCCCACGGTGAAGTAAATTAAAAATGTCTATCTTACATGTCTCCGCTAATGGATTTTTTTTCTTTTACGGCGCAGGCTTTTAAAAAAATATATATATTCTTTAGTTTTGAGAGATATTAATGGTCACCGAGTAGGGTGCCCAGGTCACAATAAGGCGATAGCAATTACAATTACGTGGACATTCTGATAATAATTAAGTAGTAATGATACGGCAGGAAGAATAACTCTTACGTATAGACATTTACAATACATTAATTTTGAATGCTGAATATGGTTGGAGCGGTGGCACAGTGGTTAGCATACTTTTAAGCTGGTTGGGAAAAGTCGCTACGAATTTTAACATCGTTCATTGAAGCTCTGTCGTCCCGACAGTTCTGTACCTTTCACCTGAAGACGGCCGCTTGCGTTGTGGCCGAAACGTCGTGAGAATTTTATTGTGTTATTTTATTATTTTATTCTCATTCTACGTGACTTTACCGAAAGAACCAAAGAAGATTAATCCTTGCAGTCACGAAAGCTTTAAATCGAAATTTGTCTTGTATTGTTTGTTGTTGCGACTGGCTGACCCACGCCCAACTGTACCATCTGTTTAAAAAAAGATTCTGGCTCAAGAACATGGCGTGGTGAAAGTGTGGTTAAAAAAAGAATCAGTAAAAAATACATCAATAAAAATGTATCAATCAATAAAAATGTATCAATCAATAAAAAAATCAATCAATAAAAAATCAATCAATATAAAATAATCAATCCTCACCGCCGCCAGTGCGGGAAAGCCAAACGAGCGCTGGGAGCCTTCATCCAGCGTCGGTTTGTCAATCAGCTGTAAATATTATTTTTCAAAACCCACGAGAGATGCATTAACATAAAGCGTTGTGCTTCAAAATGCGAGTCGTGCGAGATAAGCGACACAGAGTGGAGTGGTGCAAACGGAGACGAATACAAAGAGAAAATAATCATTGTTACATACATTCAAACGTGTGGCGGATTAAAAATAAATCGAATTAACCTGCACGAGCCATTTCCATGAAGAAACAATCAAAGATTATACAACACAAATTGGATTTATGCAGCGCCAAAACCTCCAGCCGCACGATCGCTGCTGTGCAGAAGTGGGACGCGTGCCGTAACGCGTTCAAATATTCCGACGAAAATAGCAAGTCTAATTAATATACGCCTATTTAAATACCAACCCGAACGAATTTATTGTTATAACATTTCGTCTCATTCTCAAAGACAGAGACACCCCCACCCCACCCCCGTTCATCCGTGACTCTTGGGGCGGGTGCCGTCAGTCAGCAGCCACCCACGTGGCGATGTTTACCACAAACCGCATCGGGCACTCATTTGAGGCCGAGTCGATCAGGGGAGGCCCAGGACCGGCTCAGATAACCGTCACCGGTATTTGGTGGCCGTGAGCAATACAGCGATTTCCTCCGCATCCACATCAGTCGTACGGAGGAGGGGGAGGAGGAGGAAGAGCGGGAATCGAACACGGGTCCGCCAGGGTCGCAGTGCAGTGCGCTAACCGCTGCGCCACCGCTCCCCAACACCACCACCACAACAACAAACACGCGACACCTGCCACCACACACTGTATGTGCCGCCTTCACGGAATCCTTCAACACAAACGTCGCGAGAAGCAGAACGCAACAGAGCCGTGGTCCCTCCGGGGTGGCTGTTCTAAACGAGTCACTCCGCCGGGACCGCCTGCCTTGCTGAACGCAGGAAACCTTCACGCAGACAGCCACCCTGGCCACCGCCACCATCACCACCGCCGCCACGCTTTGCAAAACGCTTGCCCCCCCTCCCGTCCCTTCGTACCAACCCCGCTCCCCCCCCTCGATCTCCATCCACCCCCTCAAACCCCCTCCCCCAGTCTGTTGTCTCCCACCTTCTGCGGATTTTAGCAACCAGCTCCTAGAGAAGCCTTTTTTTCGGCATCACCCATTTGCCTGAATCCTCAGACTCTTGATGCCCCCGTATAAGCCTTCAACAGGCTGTTTGGGGCAAGTGCTGTATTGTGCGAGCACCCGCCCGGGTCCCCACCACGGGTCCCCGGCACGCACACAAGCGTCACCCACTGACCCAGCCATTCTTAACCCTACCTTCTCTTCGTTTTCAAGTCGGGATTTAGTAGGCGGGGGGGGGGGGGGCTTATGGCGGTGGCTGTTAACACGCACGGGCTGAAAATACTTCAACGCCGTCATAACCAATCAACGCTGCCTAATAGCCGAACAAATACGAATGACATCAATGGTAATGTTCGGCCCTTTGACAATCCACTGTTGGATGAAGGCTCTATGAAGTGCAGGGTTTACGTGAAACAACTGCATAAACCGAGGTTTAATTATATTAAAAACAGTGGCCCGACTTCCCCACACCTCGTCAATTATTTGGCTCAACAGCAGTTCACTGTGCTGGTTGTTTAAAGGGGCGCCCAGGACCAGTGCAGACCATCACTCACCGCAAGTGCTAGCCATGTGCTGAAAATTAACTCTGGCCACTGGGTTCACAGCCCAGTATTCTAACCAATGCGCATTTGCAAAACTAATTAAGCTTTTTCTTCTAAAAGTCAAGGTTAGAAAATGTAGGTATATAGACGTTTTCAAACCTAATTTTGCAACACTAAACAACATGCACATTCAGATTTGTTTTGAGCGGTCACATTAATTAAGGATTAAAGTTAAGGAGGCATTAATTTCCCTTGCGTCGGCCACGTCCCGCTATGTATTTACATTTTTGATTAGCGGGTTCATCTATCACGCTTTGAGTGAGCGCACGGACACACGCACACACGCCAACGAGCGGCACCGTCGCCTCCAGGCCACTCGAAAGTTGCCGGAAGCGGCCCTTTTCCTCCTCCTCCTCCGACGACGCGTGCACGATCGGGACGGCCTCTCCAATGCACTGTCGATGGGAACGCCCTCGCAAGCCACCGCTAGCGGGCAGCCCGGCCCGGGGAGAGCGTTGCGCTGTCTTACCCGCCTGGGCGAACATTGCAATGAACACGAGGTTCGCCGCTTCTCGCGTAAGCCACAGAGGGGACCCGTGGTCAGGCTGCAGAGGAGAATACTGAAACTTGTTTGCAGTCCATTATTGTGATTCACTGTTGGATGAAAGCTTCTCCAGTCGTGGAGGTCGTTTCGCTACTTTTGCCGTACTTGTCAGTGCTGGTTGGTGAAGGGTGTGTGTGGGGGAGTGGACGCAGGACTGATTCAGATATCACTCGCCGCTGATGTTGGCCTGGCCGGGAATTTAATGCAAGTCTCCAGGTTGGCAGTTGCAGTGCATTAACCAGGGGCCCACCGCTCCACCCCACATTAGTACATATACATTGCCCAAGTATAGCTCGTTATGTTAATCCACTGCTGGATGAAGGGGCCTCACCAGCACCGGTATAATTTACAGAGGTTGTTTGTCCACACTTTGACCCTTCCGGTTCAGGTCAGCGTAAGGATGGGTGCGCGTGGCGAGGCAGGGGGGCTTCTTCAGATATCACCTTAACCGCTGGCGCTAAACTGTGCTGGGGAAGAATGTAGGTCGCCGAGTTCACAGCGGAGGGCACGGAGACGACCGTGCCACGGGCCCTCCCCGTGGACAGGGAAGGAGAAATTTACGTAATCGGTTTTCACACAAATGATGAAGCCCCCCACCCCCCGCTCAGTGGTGGCAAATACATTAAATAAGAGTGGGGGGGGGGGGAGAATGGGAGTCAAGGTTATTAGCAATTATAAGCCGTACAGCAGAAAGGCAGATTTTTTTTGGCTTTAGGATAATAAATTGAAGAATGCTTATTGCGGTAGTTTAACTCACAATTGACATTAATCATTCTAGCGTATGCGACATCTGCCAGCGCAGCTTAAAGCCCATTTCGGTTCGGGACAAACTTACGTACAGTACGCACACAAGCATAATGCCGACCGGATAACCAGCTGCTGAATATTTGATTAACCATTCGTTTTTCAGACACGTCAATATAACTGGCAGCACTCCCAGCTCAATCCTGCACATTCTCTCTTTCGCAATTCCTGCAGCTCCAAGCGGAATGGGCATGGGCTAGGAAAGCTTCAGCCAGTCTCAAGAAAATTTCATCGGATGGTGCCCTGTCTATCGTGGTGTAAAAAAAAAAAATGTAGTCTTGTTTTTTGTGTTGGTAGCACAGAGGGTTGCTAAGAGGAAACCCAAACGCATGCGAAGACAATCACTCAAACTTAGACCACAACACTCTTGCTGTACCGACCATCACGGGAACAACCCCACTCGCAGCCTCGCCGCAGAGCGAGTCTTCACACACCACCAGGATCTCCGTGGGTTCCACCAACCCTGGCTACGACAACAGCTGTGCGAACCGTGGCCACCACGCAGCCCGTGTCGCATCTCGCGTCACTCCGCCACCTGGCCCCCACCACCGCCCCAACCCCCCCCCCCCCCCCCCCCCCCCAACACCGCCGTGTCTCCCAGCATTCACCAGTCATCGCCACAATCATCGCCTATTATTTACACCGCTCCGCCTCCCGAGGGGCCCTGCGGCAGCCCCCCCCCTGCCACCCCCCTCAAGGTGGCAGCTGTCCTTGGGTGGCACGAGTTGAACGTGGCACCGTCCTGCGGGTGGACATTAGTCTGTCACTACGGGGGACGGCGATGCCACGTGGCTTCTTGTTTCCCCAATCGATTCATCTGAAAGTAGTTTATCGAACGTGAACAATGACAACCGGCACACACGGATAACGTTACGGGCTCCTCAACGCCCACCGTGACACAGACGGCACGACCCGTGGAATTTCACCGCAGCCAGCGGCCAAACGCGCTCTCTCGCGGCACGCGGGCGAGTCGCTGCCGGGCACCACTGACCCGTGTGCGTGCGCTGGTGAGCCTTGAGGTGGGAGCTCTTCGTGTAAACCTTGCGGCAGCCGTTGAAGTGGCAGTGGTGAACCCGCCGGCGGCCGTCCGGCGACGAGTCCGCGCTGCGCGCCAGCGGCAGGGCCGCCAGCCTCTGCTGCCGATTGTCACCGTCGCTTTGGCGTTGATGGCCGCTGTGGTGGTGGTGATGGTGGTGGTGGTGATGGTGGTGGCCGCCGCCGCCGCCGCCACGGCCCACGGGCGAACTCAGGCTGCGGCCCAACCGCAGGGCGGCCCTCACGGCGGCGGCGGCGGCGGCGGGGGGGGCGGCGGCGGCGGGGGCGGCGGTCGACGCGGCGGCCGCGGCGGCCAGCGCGTGCTGCTTCTTGGCGAGCTCGGGCGAGGAGGGCGGCGTGAGCGCCGTCACGGCCTCGTGCCCGGCCAGGCTCCTCAGCACCTGCTGCACGGACTCGGTGGCGGCGCCAAGAGAGGCCGCCAGCTCCGTGGCCCCGTCCGCCGCCGGCTCCTGCTTGACCGCGGCCGCGACGCCCGGAGGCGGTGCGGCGTCGCCGGCCTGCAGCTGCAGCTGCTGCGGCTGCTGCTGCTGCGACGGCTGCGGCGGTGGCGTTGGCCGGGCAGAGCCAGCGGCCTTCGCCTGCAGGACGAGCTCATCCCACAGGCCCTCGTCCGGCCCGTCCGTGCCAGCCTCGGCGGTTTGGCCGCTCGGCTCCGTCTGCAGGTACCGCTCCATCTCCAAGCACGTCTGGAGGGGCGACGCGGAGAGAGGCACGGTTACGCTGCGCAACCGGCGCAAGGAGCCGGTGAAAGTGGTGCGTGCTGACGGCCGAGTCCGTCGGTGGCACAGAGAGCATTCGTAAACCCATGACACCACCACAACCAGTGGACCTCTCTCGCTCTGGCTCTGGATACTAGTCACATGCCACCTACTCAAGTCCTACCAGCGAGCCGAAAAATATTCAGTGGTGGGACGTTAAGCATTGGTTAACATGCTACTTGAGTGGTGCGACACTTCTTACTTAATTCTGTTCTTCGTATTATCCATGCCCCTTAAGCAATCCACAAACCCTCGTTTTCCACATCCCAATCAACAGATAAGAAGTGATTGTTAAAAATCAGCCGATTATCTGAGCCTCTGCATGGATAAGCGGTGGTCACCCCACAAGTGACAAAAAAAATGCATCCTAAAATTATCAAGGTTTATCCATACACGGATAATAGGATACTCCCATAGCACCACCGAAATCCAGAACCCGGGGTCATTTATAATTGTAATTGAGTTTATTCGTAATGAACCGCAATTACAGTCTAATTGTAATTTCGGATAACAATGCCATTGTGATTGCAATAGACCCCAGGTCTGCCCCACATCCAATTGGATGAGTGGTATTTCGCTGTATAAAGTTTTCACAAGCAATAATCAATCAATGAGTGTCCTTAATTTAAATCCATGTGAAGGCCCATTGAAACTGCAGGTTCCCTCACCCCTGCACCAAAAAAATGGGAAATTTCAAATATATCAAACAATACCACCAATAATGACAAAAACGTACCCAAGAAAAGCCTCACCGAGTCTCAAGATTATCTTTCAGGACGTTTGTGCATTGGGATCTTTGGCCACTGCCACCAATGAGTTTTGGGGCCACGGTCGTGTGGAAGGAGAGCACAGAACCCAGAGAGAAAACCCCACACGTACGGGGTGGGGGGGGAAAGAGGACTCAAAAGCCCCACACAGATGGATTAAGTCCACTGCTGCGCTGTCATCTCCTGGCCACCGCACAGCCCCATGCCTATGAACACAAGGCGAGCCCTGGCGATCACCAATCCGAGCGATCGCCAGGCTCCGCTCCACTGCTCTTGGCTGCCGAGATTGGCGCGATTAGGCGGACGATTTGGGGTTAATTGGATGGAGGCAGATGCGTTAATAACAAACAAACAAAACACCTACCGGAGAAACATAGCTTGACACATTTTCAAACACAATTAAAATAATAACACTTCAAAATCAACCCCACATTCTGTACATTTTCACTCAATTGCCATTATCTCAGGTCGACATTGCCTGAGATATACAAGCGGAACTCCGTTCTCTCTACACCAAAAAAAAGAGATTGTTTAGTCGATGAGCCTACTCCTCATTTTTTTCCAGACCAATATCACCAAGCAGACAAGCAAAGCGTGGACCCTGCGTGGGCCTTCCTGGGTTCCATCGCCAGAGTCGGTGCCTGTTCAGCAAATGCCACGTGACCAAGACGTTATTGGCGAGAGCACTCCACGCTCGCGCAAAGGTCATCTGTACGAGCTCTCTGTTGCCGACGAAGGTTATGTGCACACAGCACGGTAGTATTATAGTTTGTTTGCATCCCACATCACGCTCGTGTTATGCGCTGCAACAGCGCACGTTGTACAGGTGCGGCTCTTAAGGAGTTGAGCGCAGCGCGCCGACGGGAAGCCGACAGGAGGCCGACGGGAGGCCGACGGGACAGCACTCGGACCGGGCGAAGCGCGGACTTCTTCTTGCTGCCAAGTGTTTTTTTTCCGCCGCCTTCGACGGCCCGACTCGAGAGCACGGGCTCGAGTTGTTGGAACAAAGAGAGAGAGAGAGAGAAATGTTCGCTCGCTCGCTCACTCGCCGTCGCTCACTGGCAATAAACACACGCTCACGAGTGTGCACGGCAAATTAGGTGGGTGGGGGGTGTTTTGCAAAGCCTTGTAACCCTAATTAAGATAACACATGGGAGACTGTGCTAATAAATATTCATTGCTTTACGGCGTGGTTGCGATACGACACATGCTGAGAAGTAAAACAAAGAGAGATCTGAGATGGGGGAAAATTGAGCCGAAACAATGCACAGTGCTTTGTCCTTGGATTAAGCGACTTGTGTCCGAACGCGGTTGCCCATGTGATTGGCACAGGACTAGCGATGCACTCCGCGTGACTGCCGTCAGCTGACATGCGTGCAAATTTGATGTTACCCCCCGCCCACCGCTCGAACTCCCCCCCCCCCGTCTCACCACGACATCCCAAAGCCTTTTCTCTCCATTTGCCAAGAGGTCATGAAGTTGTGTGATCCTCTTCCAATTCACCGGCGTTCATTGCTCGATCCACCCTCTCTCTCTTACTGCCACATCAACCTGGGACCAGCAACCCCAAGCCAGGTTCCGGTTCCATTTGAGCACCCAGGGATTGCAACCTGGTTTCAGTCGGCACGGGAGGGTGGAGAGCCGGACAGCCGCTTCGAGACTTCTGCCCCCTACTCCGCCGCGTAGCCATACAGAATGCGTTGGAGCGAGTGCGATTTGTGAGCGCCTATTAAGGTCGTCACACAGTGCACAAAAGCGGGTGGCGTGACCGGCAACACGCCCAGACAACCTACGTCTCCCTCGTGCGTACATTAACAAAATGGGCTCACGCGAGGCCGATTCGACCTCACGGGAGGCACCATGACCGAATCGGATGATCGTCACTGACGTTAGCCGGTTAGCCGGTGGCTGAGACAAACCGAACCAAGGTGGCAGGGGTTAAATACGTGGCGCAGTGGTCCAAGCTACTGCGCCACTGGCTCCCGCACGTGTGCGTCAACAGACTACAGACACGCGCACTCCCAGCCCGCACCATCAAGCTCCAGTTATCCACGCAGGCATGAATGCCCAGAGCACTTTGCAACGGCCCTGCCCGAGGCTAATGGAGTGGCAGCGCCGCCTTCCACGCGCTGTCCACTCGAGGCTTGGCGTGCGAGCGCCTGCGATAGTTCGGCAAGCAGACGGGCACCACGGTGGGCAATCCATGTGGAGAAAAAATAAAATGGACCGTTCCGCAGGTTATTGGCTATGCAGCGATCGATGCCGATGGAGCAATCCATTGTGCAGCGAAGTAAACACTGCCAGGCGGTTCGTGTATGACTGGTAATGCCTTCAAGCCAGTACTGGCGAAGCCACGGTGTGAATTGTGTTAAATGACTCTCACTTTAATCACTTTTATTTCCAGGAAAAGTCAATAAAGCTTGAAATGGTTCACGCTCGTGTTAATGTGTGCTTGTGTACGCCTGTATGTGCGTGTGGGGAGCGGTAGCGTAGCGGTTAGCACGCTGCGCTTTTAATCCAGAGACCCGATTTCAATTACCGCTAACGGCGAATACCAGTGAATATTATCTGAACGGGTCCTGGGCATCCCCTAGGTCGAGTCAGCCTCGAATAAATACCTGGTGAGTGTGTAGTAAACATCGCCACGAGGGAGGCAAAGGCGGCCTGGCTTGTTGCTGGCCGCCCACCGCCTCGTGTGCCACGGTCTAGGCCTTCATAGGTGCTCGCTAACAACACTTGCCTATATAAGGGAGGGGATCTTTGTTTTCTGTTTGGTTGTTTCGAGTCGTCTATTCTAACCTCTACTGCTGAACCGGAGCCTCTCAGCCTTGGCAGTCTCAAGTGCTGCACGATGCACGTCAATGACAACGACGTTGACCTTGGCAACGCAAAACATGCGGGGGGGTGGAGGGGGAAGGCTCACGCGAGGCTGCCACACAAATATAAAAAAAAAATCTGGGGGCGAATCTAACAAGCCGTGTTTCCAAAAGAAGTGAAGCTGGCAAAAGTGAACAGGGCACACGGCCCTCTCGCGTGTTAGACGTTGGGGGTGCCAGGAGATGCCAGGAAGAGATGCCGCTAGCTGACAACAACAAAAAACCTGCCGCTTCAAAGAAAAGGGGGCTAAAGCCAAGAGCACGTGCGCCCTCGAGAGACACTTGATGAAAAGTTTAACCACGTGATTTGTCACGTCAACTTTGAGACTTAAAGACGGTGTCAAAAGCGTGCGTGTGCAGGTGCGTGAATGGCATTGACCGTGAATAGCACACACCGCCTGCCGCCGTAACAATTCCTGCGATTGGTGGGAGCGATCCTATACCAACGTTTCATGGAATTCGTTCATTTTTTTTCTCTCCCTCGGACAAACGTGTTCTTTGTGATTTTTTTTAAGAGAGTCTTTGTGGGGATTGAGGGTGCTACGAAATGTCATCGCATGGCACCGAGAGCAGCAGAATCGGTTTTCAAAAAAACACGAAGCCGCCGTCTGTATGACACATTTGAAGTATATACAACATAGATATTACTGTATTGTTACCAAGACCCACCAGCTAAAAGTCTTCGAGAAAAACAAACCATGACAAGACTTACACCGATTACTTACAATGAAATTGCTTTTCTTTGTTTAACTACGTACAAACATAGGTTCACAAAGCTTGCACGATCCACGAACCCTGCCTTGGAAATATCGGCTTGCACGAGTGGACCACCCACAGCTGGTCACCATGACATTCGCCCTCCTGCTCAGCTGAACGGGAGCCCAAGAGGGAGGAGAGTGGTGCAGAGGTGCGGGCCGGGGGGATGCACAGTGGAGATGCGGGGAAAGAGGCGCCAACAGGACACAAGGGAGACGGATCCACCGCTGGGGTCCGTCTCGGGCCTGGCTTAGGCTCTCAACGGGGCAACCCTTTGTGGCACTCGTACGCAGGCCCGGATTATCCACGGCGGTGGTGGGGGGGGGCGGACAGCTCTCCCGGGGGGCCCCCTGTTTGCTAGGAACCAGGTCTGGCGCAGGGCCTCTCCGCGATGAGCTCTTGGCTGGACACAAAACCCTTGCGAGTCCCCTTCCGCCAGGACCTGATTAAACCACGGCCGGGGTGAGCAGCTGCCTTTTGCGCCCTCCTTTGCGGGGCCCGGCAGAGGGGAGCCTAGGCAACGGCGCCGGCCTACGAGACGAGCGTTGGGAATTTCAAATTATTGCTGGGCTCAGGGCCCAGTGCGCTGTTAATCCGAGGCCGATATTGCGCCTGACGGCGGGCACGGTAATGTTGAAGAGTGACCTTCCGGGTAGGTGTCATTGGGGCTGTCTCGTGATGGTCCTGAAATCTCCCGAACAGATGGAGGGCATGGAAGCAGAGGTGTAAACCGACACTAATCGGTGAAATACGATCGCCACATTTTTGTGGGGGTGTCATGCAGAAGCTTAAAAAATACTATTACGCTAGTAGATATATAGTCATGTACTGTTATCCTTTTCACAAACTTTGTTATTACTGTATTTCCCCAAATCGAAAATATATTCAGAAGTGTGATCAGATGTTTTGGGCAATAACTCTTCTTAACAATGAACGTCGTTTACCCAAACTTCAGCCAACTATAGCTTAATTATCAGCGATTTGCCAATCCACTGGCTGGATGAAGGCCTCTCCATTCCATGTCAACCATAGTGGTTGTTTAACTATACTTCACCCATAATGCTCAGTGTAGGCTGTTGAATGGGAGGGCCCAGGACAGGTTCAGATATCACTCGCCACTTTTGTTAGACGTGTCCGGGAATTTAACTCCGATCGCCGGGTTCATACTGCATCAATCCAACCACCGCACCCACCTAACCCACCGCTTCCCCGGTCAGACCTTTTGTCAATCCACTGCTGGATAAGGGCCTCTGCATGCTGTGCTGGCCGCAGGGGTTATTTTACCAAACCACAAAAAGCATTTTATGTCTTCCTGTTATCAGGCAGTGATGGGGATGGTGAGGTTTTTTTTAAATTATTCATTCTCCTTGCACACCACTGCCAATGCAGTCACTAAATGCAACAGAAATGTCATTCAATTGACCAGAATGAAAAATTAAAAACCACCGTTGGGTTTCTTCTCACGGGTCTTATCTCAGTGTTCATTAAGCGCTCAAGCAGGCTTGCTGGCAAATACATTTGGATAACAACGTTTAGTAAATTAATAACTGCGACGTTCACATTTATAACTTCAATGCAGCGTGACAGATTGTGCGCACACACAAAAAAACCTCTTCAATTATTGATGGAGGGTCCCCCCAACCCACCCCCCTCAAAAAATAAATGAATGCGCCGCTGCCCGGCTTGCATAGGTACTGCTTATACGCTCGTCGTTGTTTCAGATTTCAAATTAGCGTGGCTTTACAATCTTGGCCGTCGAATGCTGCTCGTGTACATGAATCTATCGCTGCTGCTGACGACTCTTAAAAAGGGATGGAATTTTTTTCTGTCGCTGTTACCATTTTCGCAAATAATAATAATAAGAGTGATATTTTGTGGCCGCTCTACATTTATTTAGTTTTCTGCGTCGCATCTACTGAGCTTCAGTTCAAGTCCCCCTTGAAAGCAGAAGGGCTGGACGCGCCGTCTTCGACGCGTGCTCTCACCAAATATAAGTACAGAGCAAAAAAATCGGTAAATTTTAGACGAACGTCTTGAGATTCGATTGAATTTAGACACTTCCAAAATCCAAAATGTAATTCATACGACGTGGATTCACAAAGTGTCGAGATGCATTCTTAACACATTGCAATGTTGCAACGTATTTAAAATCAACCTTAACCCGTGTACAATTCATGCCACTTCGGGTTGGCCGATGTCACACATTTGGGAAGACGCAGCACAGATGAGCGATGCTGCACATGCCCCATAGGAGCCAGTGTGTTCACAAATACATCCATCCACCCCCGCCCGCTCGAGATGATTATTTTAAAAGCAAAATGTGCATGGGTTTACCGGGGTGGGGGAGGCTGGGGGGGGGGGGGGGCTGGGAGGGGGCATTCGAGGTGCACGGCGAAACAATGATCAAGGGCATTTGAAGCAACCAAATTGTGCCGAAACACCAGCGAAAATAACAATACGTTAATAATAAACCAGACGCAACTTTTTTTTTTATATGGGCTGCGAAAAGGGGCTTGATATGAAATAGCTTTCAATCGACCGCAAAAGCTTTTTTTTAAAGAATAAATTTCCTCTCAATGCCACGCACTGGCCCACCCCCGTGGTATAGATATAAATGTGCCAAGGCTTGGGTTGGTTGCTTCCACCTCCCCCCCAGCAGTGTCTCGGTGTGAGAGGGGTGGGTGGGTAGAGGGGGGAGGTTATATTTTTATTATTACTGTAGTTTGTGGAGCGGCCCAGACATTAGGCCCATTAATTATTGAGTAGGGTTTTCTTTCCGTAGAGAAACACGCGGGGTTTGAGTGATTTTAGCCACGCGATTATTTTTTATTGTTGCTGCCGTGGGTTTGTGCGCTGCATCTGCATGCTCTCGTCTGGTGCTGGCTTTAATGAGCAAACAACATTTTTATTTTAGATCCTTTTAAATTGGCAGGGGTACTCGTAACACAGCTTGTTGGTGCGCTGCACTTTGGAACCAGTAGACACGAGTTCGACTCCTAACCAACTTGAGTGGCGAGTGATGCCTCGCACCCTACCACCCGACACAAAGTCCCTTCACTTTCACCACCAATCCACATTGACCAGGGTGGTGAAGTATAGCCAAACAACCTCATGACTGAGACTGGATGGGGAAATCTATTCGGCCGTGGATTGACAAAGGGCTGTAATTTCGTATGAATGATTGAATGTTTAAAAACATAATTATCCATTAGTTAATTAATCCAGCAGTCATTTTTTCCCCGCATGATGTTGTTAAAACGAGATTTGTGCATTGCGAAATGATATTCGAATGCAAACATCAAGATGATGTGCTTTTTGTGCAAATACAGCCAGGGTAGGGGTTTAAATACTGTGGTATGTCAATGTGTATACAGCGTCTTCTGTACACGGTGTTTACACACTTTGCAATACATACACACACACATATAAAACTGACAGTGCATCGTAAATAATAGTCTAAAATGTGAACACAGGTTGCACCGAACACTTTCAAACACGCTATATATAATGCATATAATATTCTTCAATTTACCAGAATCATCTACGCAATAATGCTGTTCTATGGAATTCCACCTTGTTCAAAAATATTTTTGGCATGAATTGTATATGCTACCAGGAACAATGGCTCGGATTAGAAACCACACACAACAATAGATGGCTACAATTTATGTGGCTTGCTATGCACATACAACCACACACATCATTCATACACACGACACACACACACGTCTTCCATGTCGGCAGCATTCACATGGCAGGCATATGAAAAGCAACACATTACTCACCACTCACATGACAGACAGATACATGCACACACATTTCTCAAAGACGCACCCACACACAGACATATCACTCGTCTACATACGCACATGATAAGAATACTATTAATTTACAGTCCCGTCAATCCACTGCTGGATGAATGTCTCGCAATGTCGTTCTCTGCCATGAGGGTTTAGTAGCTTTACAAACATAACACAATGATCCCCCGTATAGCCTGTTACAGACTGTTGGGACAAGTGCTGTTGGCGAGCACCTATGAAGGCCGGCACGGCATGCGAGTATTTGTGTGGCCAAATACACGCCAGGCCGCCTTTGTCTCCCCAATGCTGACATTTACACATCTCACAGGTATTATTTTTGTACCGATGTTGGCTACGATCGCCGGGTTCGTAGCACAGCGCAATAACCACTGCGACACCGCTCCCCGCATACATACACACACGTCACTCACATGACACAGACATCATTCAGTGATACGCACATCACTCACCTGTCACGTGACATTTCTCACACAATACGCACATTAACACAGATCACTTATGGTGCATACGTACACATCTCTCACAAGACACACACATCACATGATATACAGCATGATATTAATGACATCATGACACACACATCACTCACGATGGACAAGCACCTCAGGACACACACACACACTTTACATACTACACATATACATCACGAACATAGCACTCACGTGCCATAACATACATGCACATGACACTCACATGACACTCACATAATGCACATACACACATCTCACATGACACATATCACTCACATGACACTCGCATGAAAGACCTATCACATGGTGCACATCACTCACACGACACTCAAATGACACGCACACAAACATACAAACACATAACTCACAAGACAGCACACGTTTCACATATTACACACACATCACATGTCATACATTAAACCCACATCACACATAAAACAAAGGTCTCCCGCATAACCAGCACAGACTCTTTGAGCAAGTGCTGTTAGCGAGCACCTATAAGTACGGAGCACAAAAGAAGGACACACACCAACCACGAGCAAAGACAAAGACACCCCGTATAGTCTTTAGACTCGTGGAGCAAGTGTTGCGAGCGCGCACCTATTTAGGTCTGAACCGACGCAAAACCCCACGCCCGGCCGCCTTTGTCTCCCCAGTGCTGACGTTGACATAATAACAACGTAATAATATAATGCAGCAGGTACGTATTTAGGCTGAGTCGACCTAGGGGAGACCCAGCAGCAGTTAAGACATATACATCGCTCGGCACTGATTGTTGGCCGTGGCCAGGATTCGAACTCATCGTGTGTCTGGGAAATCGCAGCGCGCTAACAGCCACCGCGGAAGCAATGCATGCGTACACACATCAGCTTACATGCGATGCACACTCGCGCATGATATATGCAACACGAGACTGGCAGCACGCACGCCGCTCACGCACTATCTCTCACTCACTCTCTCTCTCTCTCGTCTTACCTGCTGCCAGTTTTCTTCGAGAGACGGCAGAGCAGAGAAATAACCCGTGTCGTGTACCAGCTGCAGTTCGTGAAAGATGCTGTGGCTGGCCAGCACATCCATCGCTTGCGTAGACTGATAGGCGGCGACACGACGCCGTAGCCTTGTGTGTGTGAGAATCTATACAGGGACACAGATTGGGCTAGACGTGTATATGCACACGCCTAACCCTACCTGCCGAGGAGGCTACGCAAGGATCTACGCTATGATCGACAAACACAAGCTCACGCTGGCTATGCGGTGGTTACACACCGACACAATTAGCAGAATGCCACTACAGCATAGAAACGCACTCAGATTCTTCACGGAAACTAGAAGTCGTGACGATTACATTTAAACTATCACCGAATGCTCAACTGCTACACAGTGTTACGACTTGTTTAAGACTATTACCATCATTTTTTTTACAAAATCATATCTGAAAGCTACTAGACTTTCTCATATATAAAGGAGGGAGGGGGAAAAAATAACACTAGCAACAATAAGCGCGCTTGCTATTGTTCTCGCAATTGTTGTCGCTATTGTTCTCGCTATTGTTCTCGGTAACAAGAGTCAACACGTGCTGGGAAGGAATGGGCGCTTCTTCCAGCGCAGGCGAAAAATCAGAGCGGCGACTTTTCTCGTCCCCCTTTTGTCTTGGCCAGCCGTGGAGAGTAAATACACGCGCACCAAACACACACACACAGCGGTTACACACGACCACGAGCAGCTCTGTCAACATAGGCGAGGAGGAGGAGGAGGATGAGAAGGCAGAGAAGCCAGAGACGGCGGCGAGGACTGCTGCTTCTCGCCCCTGTTTGCCTTGTGGTGGTGGGGCAGGTGTATGATGTTCCAGCCTGCTGCCGCTATAAGCTGTTGGCGATGCTTCCCTCCACCAATGCCGCCTCTCTCTCTCTCTGCAATTCAGCCTCGTGCGTCCACGTGTCTCCCTGGGGGCGCTGTCCACGGTAGGAGAAAATAAATTATGATAATGAGCCCCCCCCCCCCCAAGCCTTTCCCGTCTTGTCTCGCGGCCGCTCCGGCCAATCAGATGTCGCGACTTATATTCACGAGCCGCCTCTTTGAACATATGTCAGCGAGTTGAGCGTGCCCATTGGTCCGGATGGTCTCGATTAATTATTCACGAGAGGCGTGATAATCGCGACGTGCCAGATTTGCAGCGTTTATAAAAGCCACGCGCTCGTCCGTCACTATTTTCGGTGAAGTGATTCGACTCGGTGAATCGATTCAAAATTAGTTCGCATTGTGATGAGTGTAGCGGCCTCTAGTGGCTGGAGGTGATCACGTTGAAGCCATTGCATAAACCGATATCGATTTAACAACAAACACCCCATATATTCAATCTTTAATTAACATGTACGCATTGTGAGCTTGGAATATATACGAATGGGTATGCACCGATTTAAATAGGGCACTATTAGTGTACGCGATAACCATACAGATGCAATCGAGAGCGAGGCAATTGAAAACACAAGTCTCTGTCAAGGGAGATCTGGTGTGCAAAAGTAAATTTACAGTCCTTAAACAATCCACTGCTAGGACGAGGGTCGTTGTGGGTGTTGTTACCACCCTTCACGACGCTGGTCCATACGGGTTGATGAAGGCTAGAAGCGGCAGTGGGAGCATAAATAATGCAACAAGAAAGTTTAGTGGCTAATTTATTTATTTTTTATCAATTAGTGTTTATAAAATTAAAACGATTGATAGAGGCAAAACTTTAAACTTAGCAGATACATACGAAGTATAAACGTATAAACTTAACCGGATAGAGGGATCATGAGCAATTGTACTGTATTCAACATTTCCGAGCAATTAACTTCGCTTATTCGTCTGAGGTTGACTCAGAGGGGACAAGCGTTCATTGCTTAAAAGACCCCAAATTGCTCCAAGTTGTCGAAGCGTCACGGTTGACAGAACATTATCGAAATTTAACGTTCTTTTTAGCAAAACAAGGCAAAGGAACTGTGATACAAAGTTGCTGTGTCGGTGGTTGCAATGCTGTTTTGCCTAAATGAGGTGCTGCTGATGAGACCCAGAAGTTCGAAACCGGTCCACAATAAACACGCGCTGCTTGATTTATAACATTCCACTGGAAAAGCCGATAGACATAAAACATTGACAGTGTGGAGACACAACGTATTTGTGCTTGTATGTCATACCTGTCTGGATTCGTGCTCTTTAGCGCGTACCATCGCGCCTTAGTCATTCGCACAATCATCACGTTGTATTTGCGGTTGCCTATCGGTGGGTTCATTGCACAAAAATAAGTCCGGAGATGAGATTTAAACAGTCAAATGTCATTACAGAAAAGTTGGGGCGGTGTTTATTGATCATAAACTGGGCGCGTCATGTGTTTGGAAAGTCTTTAAAAAAAAAAGCAAGCGGCTATTTTAAAAGTGAGTGATGAATTGTCTCGTAAAGATGTTTTTTTTTTAATAGAGGCCACCCTTCACGCCTGTCGAGCCCGCAGCCCCCACAGCAGGCTGTGGAGCAGTGGCGTAACGAGCAGGCCGGGGGTGCCCTACCCCACACCCACCCCCCCCCCACCGCGGTGGCCACAGCTACGGGCTGGGCCCTCTTGACAACCACCGTGGGATGTGTTTTCAACAACAGTGGAAAAGAACAACAACAACAATTATTTAAAACGCGGTCTCAATTTTTTTTATGAAAATAATTTCATTTACGCTCCACGTTGTGTTGTTATTTAATTGAAATCAAATTTTGGGGCACCACCTGACCGATTGCCACATCCCCCCCCCCCCCCCGAACTGATAATATACGGACAGTCCTCGAATTACGACTGCCCAACTAACGACCAACCGCAATTACGAGCTAGGTTCCATGAAAGATTTGTTATTGTTTTTTTTACTTTGGCTTAAAACGCGAACTCTCACTTGCAAATTGAACTGCGGCACTATTTTTTGTTCAGCTGAGCGATCCTCCGCGAGATGTAATGAGTCAGCCTAAAACTGGAAGTGAGTGTTTGTGTGAGCATTTAAATATACAGTAGATTACTGTGTTCCGTCTTACGAACCGTTCGACTTACGAACGGGTCTCAGGAACGGATTGTGTTCGTAAGTCGATGACCGTCCTTCGTTACTACGCCACTGGTTCTGAGCAAAGCCCCCTACCCCCAAACATTCGACGCAAAAAAAAAACGATACCTCTGCTGCGCGTTCAAAATCAGAGCCCCCGATGTTGCCCAATCGCCCTGGCGTCCGCGAACTCTTGCCGGGCGACGGCGGTCATTGTACTGCACGTGGCCTGCAATCCAGCACTGTGGAGAAGAAGCCAGAGTTGGTGAATCGCACACAATGTCGCGACGCACACTTCCCGTGGACGCGTCGTGTCCGGGATGTGCTGTAGCGGCTATATGCAACGGCTTGCCAGGACAATGCAACGTACCCGGCACCTCCGATTAGGACGGTTGGCTTTCGTACGGTGCGAAAGAAGTTCAACATACGTTCCGTACATACAAAAATGTGGACTTCACCTGTTCCGTTTGCACGAGTTAGTGCGTTTACCCGTCCCACGCGTGGGGTTTTTATCCGAGCGCTCTAGTTTCCTCGCACTTGTAAACGCTCGTAAGTTGGCCGATAACGCCAGCACGTAGTTTATATTTTAGTTTATATCGAGGACGGCAGAGCTCGGCCAGTTATTGACGCCGGCTCACCGCATGACTGCCCTCCAGCTCGTGACTGGTTCCTCCTCGCGTCTCTCAGTCGTTCTCCCTCTCGGCGAGAGCGAGCGAATACTGCAGTGTCGAGGTACACATATAGATTATTATTATTATTATGACCATTAGATCCCCCCCTCCCCCCAAGATCTCCAGTTTATTGTATTCTTCTTATAAACACGAACCGGGCCAGCTCCTCTATCGCAAACCAAGGTGACCGGCGCTCACTGTTGTGCCTGCGACACGTACTTTATTCACATTGTGTTCCTCTTCTGTCTTGTTAAACAAAACAAATAAAACGACGAAACTCTAACACGCAAAAAAATAGGTCACCGTTTCCAGGGACGCCTTTCCAGGCACCTATTAGTTAAAGAAGCGTCGCTTCCCCGTGACGCGCAGCATCCCGCTGTCTCTGTGCAGTGCCTTGAGATGCGGTTGCATTTTGTCTACTGCGGTTTATTATCGGGATTATGATTGATCATCCAGCTAAAGCCTCACCGAGCCTCAATACTCTTTTTCAGGGGGTACCTGCCAGGTTTTCACAGATGGGGCGGGTGTGGAGTGGTGCGATGTTAACCCGCCTCTTCTGGACGTCTGTGAGAAAGAGCTTTGTAGCCCGTCGGATTTCTCCAGAATAAATCAAGATTCTGATTCTGCTGCCTTGTGTACCGTAATCCCAACTTGAGCAATTTTGAGGCACGGTGTTTGTTTTGTAAGGGTATAATCACAATCCATCAGCAACGCACACAACGAGCTACTGTGCTTTTCTGGGTTAAGGCATAAAAAAAAGTATTCCTCTGGTTTTATTTGGTAGCTTTTTATATATGTTTGATGTGCTAATTGTTGGGTAGCACTGCATGGCTGGACAGCTCCAATTGAATGCCCTTGTTACACAGCAAAAAAAAACAGAATTAGATTAAACATCACAATGGAAATTTTTTATTAAAATACCGGAACAACTCGTATCCCCAAATGAGACATCTACAATTACAGTATCTGGCCTTTTTCCCATTTAATACATCAATTGTTGCTGCTTCACTGAATACATTGTACGTAGCATAAAACATAAATACATGCAGCCACATTTCCTCTCATTAAATAATATATTTCCTGCAATTCATTCGGTAGGTTTCACCGCAATTCTTCCGTATCAACTTGGTAACCATTCGTTTATATGGCGACGAAAATGATCTTCCAAAACATCTGGCTCGCGCGGAAGAGTAGGCCAATATACCTCCTAGGGCAGAGGTTCTCAGAGTGTGGTCGCTTGTTCCACAAGCGATCGGTGACGATCCCCCAGGTGGACCGCGGGGATGTGATCCAAACGCATAGTTCCATTTTTCCATTTATTTGGTATAGCCCTGTGAGCCATTCGGCTCTTAAATCGGGTGCAACCGCAACAAAAACAAAAACACGAACAAGAAAAACATCTTAAAGTGACTATGTGTGACTCTGTGCAGAACAGAAAATCCAGGAATAAAAACATCAAAATATTCCTGAAAGAGCACCGTACACCACCAACGCTGTGTGCAAAAATCCCAGTGGGATGCAAGTCAAACAACAACAACAACCACAAGACTACTTAGATTAAGGCCATCATTCTAACTCCGTACTACAATAAACCAGCGGACAAACGAGGGGACAGGGAGGGAACCATAGTGGCCAGAGATGACACAATGAAGGTCCTTAATGATCGTGAGCAGAGGGTCAGGGACTCCCAAAAGCACGAAGAACAACCCAGAGCCCAGGCCTACTGATGGTATCGCAGTGCCTTGACCAGGTCAATAAAGCAGAGATGTCGGTCTTGTTGGAATTCCCTACACCTCTGCTGTAGCAGACGGGACAGAAAATATGGCATCTGTGCAGGATCGCCCTTTCCGGTTGGGTTGATTCGGAAATCATGATGACAACGTTGTTTCAGATATGACTGTTTCAGACATTCATATTTTTCTCAAAATATTTTTTTTTTAATATTTTTCTCAAAATATTTAATTGAAATAAAAAGTTAGGTAACCTACCCCAATTAAACTACCCTCAGATCTAAATTCCCCACTATATATAAAATCCGGTAATGTGAATAATTTTGTATTACTGGTGTTTGGAGAGAGAAGTGAATGCGTTTTGTCACCCGGGGCGTGTGGGGTGGGCTGTGGGGGCTGGCTGTGGGGGCCGGCTATGGGGGCTGGCTGTGGGGGCTGGCTTTGGGGGTTGGCTGTGGGGCTGGCTGTGGGTGCGGGCTATGGGGGCTGGCTGTGGGGCTGGCTGTGGGGCTGGCTGTGGGGCTGGCTGTGGAGGCTGGCTGTGGGGGCTGGCTTTGGGGGCTGGCTGTGGGAGCTGGCTATGGGGGCTGGCTATGGGGGCTGGCTGTGGGGCTGGCTGTGGGGCTGGCTGTGGGGCTGGCTGTGGAG